TATGTAACAGACTGTCTAGTCTTCCTTTAACTACAATTGATTGGTCCTCTTGTTAATTAGTCTGTTATTTTAAGGCATTTTCATTCCTCATCAGAATTCCTTTCTGCTGGGGAAGCCTTTGAAACTCTTTTAAAAGAGTAGTTAACTACATTAAAAGCTCCTTAGGAGGCAGCATCTTTTAAGATGAGGTATTTATCCGGCACAAAAACAGTCTAAATTAGGATGACAGTATTAAATTGAAATTTGCAGAATATTACCTTGCAAGGATTATGGCCAAGTGATTCGAAGTGAAGTGTGTGTGTTTTTTTTTTGAGACATCCATTGATTCACTATAATGAATTGGACTTATTGAAGTACAGAGATGTATTGCTTTGATGTACATTACTGTTCAAAAGTAAGATAGTTTTCTATTTTAATATAGTTTAAATTGCATTTTATTTCTGTGATAACAAAGCTGAATTTTAAGAAGGCATTACTGAAGCCTTCAGTCACACAATCATTCAGATACTCTTCTAATATGCTGATTTGGTGCTCAATAAACATTTCTTATTAGTATAAATATTGGCAACAGTTATATTGCTTCATATTTTTGTGGAAACCATGATCAATTTTATTCAGGATTCTTTAATGAATAGAAAGTTTAAAAGATGCAACAGCATTTGTTTAGAACAGAAATCTTTTGTAAGATATTAAATGCATGTACTGTCCCTCTTGATAAATTTAATGGAAATAAACGAATAAAAGTAATAAAAGAAGACAAGTACTAATTTCAAAAGGAAATCACCCCAAAGTTTTGAACAGTAGTGTAGCTTGGACCACTGTAACATTATTTTTAAAGCAGTACAAAAAAAAAAATATTTTAATAATGTCACTACTTTTATTTAGTTACTCCCTCTCACTGCTGCGCACACATTTTCATCTCCTGTATGGTCTCATCTTATATCCTCCCATGACTGTTCTGAAAGCTTTCTCAAATAGTGTTTCACAGATCATAATGGGGTTATGTAGTGTCTGGACTCCAGTGAAGCTTGTAGATGTAGCTATTAGATTTGGGGGAAAATGGCTTCATTGGGAAAAAATTTCTCATTGGGTCAGAGGCCCTTTTCCCTTTTCCACAACAGTGGAGTCTCTGAGTGCCAATAGACAGTGTGCTCAATTCATTCTGTAATGGATCAACTGAGAGGGCAATTCCTGCAATTGCCAAGATGACTTGACTCTCAGAAAAAAGTTAAAATGTGGAATTGTTGTGTTGAGAATCTTAGCAGAGATGTTCTTTGTGCCTTTATGGCGCCTCCAAGGTTAAACGGGTTTGCTGGGGTAAATTGGCAGTGTTGATGTCACATTGGATCATACAGCATTTCTGTCTTCCATTGTATTGGCAAAAGAAATTAAGTGTTCCTATTGCACGGAAATGTATTACTGTCCAATCTTTAATGCTCTTTAGTGTCCCATAAAAGGTGCAAGTCAGCAGACCTCTAATGCAGCCCTGTTTGGTAGAATAATGTCATCTGAGTCATTTGATTGCAGACGTTTGATTTGAAATGTTGAACCGCATGCTCCATATTCAAGCTTCAAAGTGCAAGATTGGTGAATGACATTGATGATTTAGTTTTTCTGTCAGGATTTAGAGGGGATGCCCAGTAAGTGGCTCATTAAGCTTTAGGATAAACTGATTACAAGCAAAAACTCATAACAAGGAAATCTGAAAATTAGAGAGTTTTTTGTATTAATGGCCTTAAAACAGAGAGTTAAAACCTACTTCAATTGAAGTTCAGTTCGATTCATGTTTGATTGATGTGATGTAAAAATGTTGCAGTTTTCACATTTTTACTGTTTTTTTTTCTCCATTCGTCATTTAGATATGCCCTGTATACTCTCTTGTCAGCATATGGACTCTGCCTATTGTCAGCTATAATCAGGACCTATGCATTTGTCATTAGCCCCTGAAGTCATATTTTGATGTGTGACTTTAAATGTGTAAAGTTTTAAGTAATAAATATTAATTCACCTGCAATAGTTTTCATGTTTGGATTAACCAGCCTATTTAGTTTCATAGAAGTGAAGAACACTATGGATCATTAAACAGGCACTTTCATTAAAATGACATTTTTAACTCTAACTCAGTGGCCCTTTAAGAGATCTTTACCAGATTACAATGAGGTAGTGAAACATTGACACATATTGATGTCAGGGTTGGCTTGCTTGGTGAACATATGGATGCTACAGGTCATCAGCAGTGTGACATGGAAAGAAGTTAATGGACAAACCTCAGCAGACATGTAAAACTAGTCTTTTTATGGTCTTGTACAAGATCAAATCAACTAACTGACATAGAATGGTAAATGGTTTTGCCAATAGATTTTCTTTCAGTAAATAAGACCATGCAGCTTATGCATTTATAGTTGCTTTGTATTGTGTGTTTGTCTACTCTTTAATATTTTTATATTTTTGTTACATTTATATTAAAATATACATTTGTAACAATCCAATGAATTCCCAATAAATAAAATCAAATAAATGTTTCCCTTCTCATTGAATACCCTGTTTCATTCCAGTTGCATCCATTGACTTAAAAATTATGCTATTGATTCTGTCTTTCCTGGCACTAGTCTTGATCTGGCTTGACCAAGTAATGATGATGCTGTCAAAAATGGAAGCACTTTTCAGTTGCAAAAATTCTGAAAGTCTTTTTGATAGTCATTAGTGTCAAATGTCTTGGTTGTTTTATTCATGTACAAGAGCAGACACACATGGCCTCAGGTGCTTCTGTAAGTCTCATTCTATCCCGACACATCTGGATTCTGGAATTAGAATTTATTGCCTGCTGTCAGAAAAGCAAAAGTCAAGGATACTGGTTTCCCTAAAGTCAATTTCACAAGCCCAACATGTCTCAGAAAACTTTAGTTTCGCATTGAAGTGGCCATTAGCCATTGAACGCTGGTTTAACATGTCCACTGTTTACACAACAGCACCTGAACATGTGCAGGAATGCAAGTTTGTCATTATCTTGTCATGATCTAAAGACACAGTTTACTCTTTGAATAGTGAAACTCGGAAGAGTGGTTATCCTCTGTCTAGGTAAATCAACCCTAAGACTAGGTTCACAAGCTGAACATTATCCACTAGAAATTCACGTCACACCAAAACCATAAGTAAGGTGTGTTTTCATTTCTAATCCTCTCATGTGCAACAAAGGCGAGAAGAGTTTTGTTTCAACTCATAACAAAAGCGCCATCTGAAGAACTTAATGATGAATATGTAAACCCCTAAAGGACTTTGATCTTTGTTTGATAAATAAGACCATGTGCTCATGAGCTGTACTTGGTAGTCTTTTTTCAGAAAATTTACAAAAGTCAAGTCATGGTTCCAAAGACTTGCATCAACTTTAATGTTTCTATTAACATTTACAAAACACACATTTATACATCAGTTTAATGAACAAAACACAATTATCTTCCATATGATAAAAAAGGAGGGACTGTTTTGGCAAGAAACACCCTGTTCTTACTTTTCTATATTTATAAAAGCAGAATCGATGTGTTGTGTTGTGTTGTGGTGTGTGTGTGTGTGTGTGTGTGTGTGTAGGCAGGAAGGGTCTTAAGCTGTCCAGCTGTAACCTCACACCTTTCCCTCCTCCTCATGACATGTCAGCACATGGAGCCTGTGATGTTTCCATGCCTAGCTTATCTTCACAACTAGCTAAATATGTCTGTGCTGAGTGATATTAGCATGTGAGTCTCCTGATCTCACCCAGCAGTCTAAGTTTGATTTATATATACACACCATATAGTAGTATCCAGTAATATTTTATTTTATTTTATTTTATTTTATTTTATTTTATTTTATTTTATTTTATTTTATTTTATTTTATTTTGTTTTATTTTATTTTATTTTATTTTATTTTATTTTATTTTATTTTATTTTATTTTATTTTATTTTATTTTATTTTATTTTATTTTATTTTATTTTATTTTATTTTATTTTATTTTATTTTATTTTATTTTATTTTGTTTTGTTTTGTTTTGTTTTGTTTTGTTTTAGAGAAGAGTTTATTTTATTGAAATTCGTTTTTTTCAAAAATGTCATTTTGTATATAAATTTCTTCAAATTTTGATATCATGGCTTTTATTTTGGAGCCTAAATTTGTAAAAGTTGGCAGAAATTCCCGTCTCAGGCCAAGACAAGTTTTATATCCCCTCGAGTCAAGCAATAAGTACTTTTTTTTTTTTTTTACTGCTGTCTTGAGTCTTATAAAATATATTTTATTGAAATTCGTTTTTTTCAAAAATGTCATTTTGTATATAAATTTCTTCAAATTTTGATATCATGGCTTTTATTTTGGAGCCTAAATTTGTAAAAGTTGGCAGAAATTCCCGTCTCAGGCCAAGACAAGTTTTATATCCCCTCGAGTCAAGCAATAAGTACTTTTTTTTTTTTTTACTGCTGTCTCATGAGTCTTATAAAATATATTTTATATTGTTCACGTAGTATTTATAACTTTAAAAGATGTCAGTGTATTACATACATAGTAAATTTCATCCTCAAGAAGGTCCTCTGGGAACAAATAACCCAAGGGGTCACTTTCTATTAAAACTGGGAAATTTTACTGGCTGATGAATGTACATTCTTGTTCAATCAAAAGTGTTGTATATTGTTTCAGGATATCAAAAAGTCCCAAACATGAGTTACATTAAATTGTCTGTCTTTTTTATTCACACATTTTCCTCCTGAAAAAAAGGATGAAATTACTTTTAGCTCACTAAAGATACTGTATACAGCCAAAATAATGCTTTCTCGCAGTATTTCACAACTAAAGTCAAGATTCACCCCTTGATTTCCCATCACAGCTGTCAATGTTGAGCACTTCCTCTGCAATACATGTTTGAGCAGACTAATAATGTGCTTTTTAACCTAGTCCCAGCCTGCTGCCCATTCCTGACCATTCACTTTTGTATTGTGCTTTGTAAGGTCGTTTATATTCTTTTCCTTTCTTTCCACAGAAGAAAGTGGAGTGTCGCTGTTGCAATTAATTGGTGATCCTCCACCTGATGGTGTCTCCAAAGTCTTTGACCATGATAACAGCCCTGGCTATGTGTTTGACCAAAGCTCCAATGTGGGTCAGTCAGCTGCAGCCCACCTGCCCAACCCTTTCTTCCGTGACTTCTCCCTTATCTTCAACATAAAACCCACGTCCTCCAAGCCTGGAGTCATCTTCTCCATCACTGACCCAACCCAGAACATCATGTATGTTGGTGTGAAGCTGTCAGCGGTGGAGAAGGGCAAGCAGTATATAATCTTCTACTACACTGAGCCAGACTCGCAGAGCTCATACGAGGCGGCCAGATTTTCCGTGCCCTCCATGGTGAACACCTGGACCCGGTTTTCCATCGGTGTTTTGAATGAGCGTGTTTCCCTCTACTTCAGCTGTGACTCAGATCCTCAGGTCATCACTTTTGAGCGGTCTCCAGATGATATGGACCTGGATGCCGGGGCTGGAGTGTTTGTTGGTCATGCCAGTGGAGCAGACCCTGATAAGTTTTTGGTATGTACACAGTCCATTCTTTCAAATCATGATATCCCAGTGAAAACAAGTCAAACCAAGGCTAGCTTAACCCAGAAAAGGGAAGGTGCAATGAAAATCTATGTGGTTGAGTGACTCTTGCATGATTTGATTGCTCAAATTGGCCTGTTTAAAACACAACAAACATTCTGTTGTCGTAAAATAGTCTACTCATCTTTCCTTGTTGGAGTAGAGTAGTTAATTGCTTTAAAAATCCACAGGGGAGCAATTAGGTCCTGTTAGTTTTGTGTGGCAGTGTCCAGCAGTTGACCCCACAGCTTGATCTGAGATCAGTGAAAACCGGCCGCTGCCCTATTCTTCCCCCAAATTCAGTCAGATGAGAACTAACAGTATATTTTATTTTATTTTTTCCATTTATTATTTGTATATTACATATTTCTTTTATTTTATGATATATAAATTAATAAAAAATATTATTGATTCATATATTTATGTATTATGCCTGTTTGTTTATTTTAGCATCATTTAATTTGTTAAATTAAATTTGTTGAATGCCCCCCCCCCACACACACACACAAAACACACACACACATATATGTTTAATGTTATTTATATATCACTAAATAATTATATTATTTGTTTATTTTATAAATCTTATATATATATATTTTTTATATATATTTAAATGCAATTCAATTTAATGTAATTTAATTGCTTATTCCTTCCTTCCTTCCTTGATGAACTGTTTAATATTAAGTTATTTAGAAGCATTACTGTAACAACGTTCGTAGTCACGGGAAGAAGGAGGCGGGAACCGGCGGACGTTTAAATAAACTTTAATAATAAAATAAACACATTTAAATAAACGTTAATAATAAAATAAACACAAAATAGTAAAATAAACACAAACGAAACCAAAACACAAAATAAAATCCAGGCCTGGTCCTCTCTCGTCCAACACGGTCGTCACTCCTCCCTTTTATCCTTCCGGAGCTCCTCCGTGAGACTCGAGACCGGTGAGTGGGTGCAGGTGTCGCTCATTAGCAATCACTCCACCGGCCTCGCTCCGTTCCCACGGCTCTCGGCCCCGCCCCCCCTGGTCACAATTACTTATATTTGTCTTTTTTTCAGAAAAAAACTTGATAACTTTTTTTTTGTCAGGATCACTTAAAACTTTATACTAAACATAAATAATCCATGAATAACTAATAAATAATGTAATAAGTGAAGAAAATATGTAGGCATCTAAATTACATCATAAAATCAAATAAATAAATATATATTTAAACAATATTTAAAATATATAAAGAATTTTTGCAACACCATTTGGTAGCATTATGAACTTGAAATATATGAAATATAATATAATATAATAAAATATATATATTTATATATACAAAAATAATGAATAAGAACAGCTTTTATAGGCCAACAGATTCTTCACCAGCTGCTGTGCTACTAAAGCAGCCTAACTGATCTCTGAAGTGAGTGATGTGATTGAATGCCCCGCCTTGTGTCCTCTAGTTATGCTAGTGCTTTCAAGCATGTTGTTCAATAACCATAGTGAGGCAACTGAGGCAGCAGAAATGCCTCACATTTCCCAGAGCTCATAATGGCCACTCAAAAGCAGATGGATCTTAATTGTTCAGTTCAGTATGGCTCCTTGTTTCATGTGGCGTCCATTTCCTATGGGAACTCCACCATGAGGAGATGGCCATCATAATTACAGACCTGATTAAGCAAGATATGATTGCTATTTCATCCCTCTCATTAAGACCATGTGCAGAACTGTGGGGGTGATCAGGTCTGTAAATCTGACCCCGTGTTAGGGCTGTAAGAGGGTCTCAGCAGGTCACAGCGTGAAATAAAAGGGCAATTAAGACATCATAAATCTTCCTTCACTGCATTCTGTTCCTAAACCTTTGACTTTAGCTCTTGAGACACGAGAAGGGAAGTCCTGTCAGATCTTACCAGCAACTTACCCACATTTCTATAATCAGTTACTCAACCTCATATTGCTCCAAAAGGGTTTGATTTTCTTTTCTTTCTTTGTAGGCCACAAAAGGAGCTATTTGGATGTTCATGCTGTTCCTAATAATAAAGAATGGTTGTCAGTTGTCATCAGCTGTTCACCCTATCAGTAGTCCATGCAGTATATTGCAAATATTGATAGTTTTGTGTGAGAAACAGTCATTATTCTCTGAAAATCTTCTTTCAGATCTCATTCATGTAATATGAAGTTGTGCATTTTTAAATTTGCCACCTTATTAGTAAATAATAGCTTAAATCTACTCCTCAGTGTTATCATGTGGCTTCAGAAGACTTAAAATAGAGCAGAAATAGTTGTATGGACTACTTTTATTGTGCTTGTTATCCTTCCGGAGCTTGACGTCTCTTGGGCCTCATTCATTTTTATTGTGTGGAAAAGAGCAACCTCAACATTCTGCTAAACATCTCCTTTTGTGTTCCACAGAAGAAAGTAAGTCATACAGCTTTGGAACAACATGAGAATAATTAAGTGATTGGCTGAATGTGTTGCTTGGTGGATCGTATTGAATGTTATCACCATCTGTGCTGCAAACCATGAAAGGGAAATCCCACATGGAGACAGATAGCCATGTGTTTGAAAAGTAAGATATCAGGCACACATTGTTATCTGACTGCCAGCATTTTTGCCGTGAAAGGCAATGGCATGATAATGCACAGTGGATTCAGTTTCTAATGAGCAGCTGCCCTACAGCATGGACTGTATGTCACCACACCTGCTATAGCCATCAAAATAAGCTCAATAACCTGTGCGTGTTTGTTCTAGGGTTTTATCGGCGATATAAGGGTGTTGAAAGACCCTGGGGCGGCTGAACGGCACTGTGAAGAAGATGAGGATGACTTCGATGCGGTAAGACTTAAAGCACATAAACTTTCAAATAAGAAAGTTTGGAGCGTTGGAGGCCTTTTTGGATCATTTAGGCATATATAAACACTGCAATCATTGTTGGATCTCAATATAGCTCAATATTTTCTGGGAATTTGTTGATAATGATAATTAGATGAGTGTGTTTTTGTGTTGGTACATTGGCTGGTTTAGGCCTGTCATGGACGACTGACTCCTGAGCTTTTCATATTTTTCATATTCTGTGCGGTGGTTAGTTCACAGCAGTGACAGAAATTAACGCTTTCACTATGAGGTAATATTTGGCCCCTTAAACTGGATTCATTTTTTTTTTTTTAATGAAGTGATACTTTAAATATGAAACTAAAATCAACAGTAGGTGGTGGCAAGTCTCTGTCTTAATGAGTTGAGTCATTCATTCAAATGATTCATTGAAATGGCCGATTTCTTCAGTCAATTAATCATTAATTAAACTGATTCACTCAGAGTGTTACTCAGAGAGTCTAAACAGTTCTTCTGTGATTTTAGTTGGAAATTTGCATTGACAAAGAAAAAGCAAAAACAAAAAATTTAATAAAAAAAACTTGATTTGTTCAATAAACAATATGACATTTGTGATGATATTCGGGGCAAAACTGCACTCTTCCTTTTGTGATATTGCTTAATTATATAATTTGAAATGCTCAAACTGAACCAAGAGGTAAATGCAACATTGTAACAGTGTAACCAAGCAAACAATCTACAGGACTAAAAACACCCTATTATATATAAAAACACCATTTTCACTCGTGTTATGCCTTTATTATGCCTCAGCTTTGTGGGAAATGAGAAATAGGTACATAAATGGTTCACACTATTACAGCTACACACACTATTAAAAGTTAAGCGGTTCTAAAATGGGTGATTAATCCAAAGATTGGCTAATGCAGCGAGGTGAAAAGTAGTGAAAATGTACTCTGGGAGATCCGCTGCATAAATCAAGGTCTAGCTGCATTCTCAAACAAGTGGATTGTCTTTTGTAAAAAAGGAAAGCTTTGAAGGTGTGTTTTTTTTAGCCAGTTATCGTGTAGTCTTTTATAAATGAGACCAGTGTGAAAAGGATAGCTTGCCTGGTGCAAGTGTTCAGATTTAGACTGTCTTCCCCAGGTGACTCATCTCAGAATTGCTGCGGCATCACTTTACATTTATATTTATGCATTTGGCAGAAGCTGGTATCTAAAGCAACTCACAGTGCATTTTAAGGTATATATTTGATCAGTTCTTTGTCTCCTGGGAACTGAACCAATGTCCTACCAAAGCCCGTGTCTGAACTTGCCAGTGTCCTACCAAAGCCCTACCAAATGAGCTACATTTACATTAAATCTGAACCTTAAAGCAATAGTTCACCCCAAAATGAAAATGTTGTCATCATTTACTCATCCAATGTGTTTTTCCAACCCAGTATTATTTTTTTCTTCCTTGAAACACAGAAGGTGTGCAGACTGAATGTCTGAGATCTTTTCCACACAACAGAAGTTTATTTATAGTTCCAAAAAGGACAAAAAATATCATAAAAGCATCAATAAATGTGACTTGTATTTCATGTAAGAATGAAAATAACATGGGTTTGGAACAACATAAGGATGAGTAACTTTTCCTTTTAAGGAATACCTGGAGTATTTGTAGGCTGATTGTTATCCATCTATGGCTGATAGTGCTTGGAATTTACTTCCATTCATTTCTAGAAAAGAATGTGTCGCCTCCAGTTAGGTTTTCCACAGAATAAAGCTTTAATGCCCATCAGTATGACGCATGATGTATTACATGCCCTCCAGCCAACTAGATAACAGTGTGATGAAATTTATGTAGTTTTCCGTTCTCCTTCAGAATCTACAGGGATCAGGTGATTACGGAGCAAGTGGAGATGGAGAAGGACGACCATCAATCCAGGTATTACCTTAATTTTCCTCAGAAAATGTGTAAACTTGTTGTGATTCATGTAGTGTCCACATTCAAAACATCTAATGATGAACCCGAGGTTCCCGGCTATTTCCAGAGCAGCAGCCTGTGATTTCTGGCAGGTCTGTCACTGTACACTTGTTCATCTTCTGGGGGAAAGTCCCAGATGAACGCTATTATCTCCAGACCGATCCCAGATGTTAAAGCCCATCTTCCCATGCCTTGTGTTGCTAATCCAGAAATAGGCCATGTGGAAATTGAAATGAACCCTTTGCTACTGATGTGTGAGGCCCGTGTCTGAGCTTGCCAGAGCTAATTACAATAGAAAGAAACCAGGTGGCTGTTAGGTGTGGACTGCAAGGATCTTCTTCCATAAGTGTCTACTTTTTTGACTGGTTTATTTATCAGTGCTGAAGTTGAGTGTAATTTTAAGAATGTTTTGGCTACTTTTTTAGTTTGTTTTTTAATTTTCTGAGTATATTGTACTTGTGTGAAGGTTGCTGATTCTTAGAAGCATCTTTCCTTTCACTTACAAGTATTTATTGCCATTATATTTGTTTTAACAGCTGCTGCCAGCATGCAGGTATTAATTTAATTCTAACCTAGTAATTTTAAATTACACAGTTTTTGTTTGCTTTTGCAGTACACAACATGTTTTAACACGCTGTGACAGAGAGAGAGAGAGAGAGATGGCATTCCGAGGTGCTGTAAAGTAAACTTTCTTTTGTCTTACCATGGAATCCATTTTGATGGATGCCACATCCCCCCTAGGACATTTTCCACGCTTGTTTTTAAGTGTTTAAGATGGTAATGGTAATATTTGTAATTTGTCATGGTCAAGGTCACAGAGGTCTAAATTGTTTGTACACAAGCAGTGAAATTAATTTAAACTGTGTCGGAACAGGTACGAAAGGCATAAGAAGTGATATACTTTGGTTTTTTAGGCTTTGCTGTAAAAAATAAAAACAGAAAAAAGAACACAAAGTATTTTTTGTGACTTTTAGTACACGTCTCTTCGCTTTAAGGCACATAATTTTCTAGAGTACTAAACATTGAAAAGTATAAACTTTGAAATGTTCTTATAACAAGATAAATTTACTTTAGAAGCAAAATTGCAAAACATATCAAGACTTTTGGGGCGTTTTGGAAGAAATTACTCATTTTTAATCAGCAAAGATGCATTAAATTGTACAAAAGTGAGAGTAAATACTTCTACATTGTTACAAAAGATTTTTATTTCAAATAAATAAAAATGCTGTTCTTTTGAACTTTGTTAGTCATGAAAGAATCCAGAAAAAGTGTATCATGGTTTCTACAAAAAAGAAATTATTCTTGAGCACCAAATCAGCATATTCAGATGTTTTTGAAGTATCATGTGACAGTGAAGACTGGAGTAATGGTTGCCTCTAAATTCTAAAAATTCTGGTTTGCCATCACAGGAATAAATTACATTTAAAAAAATAAATAAAATAGATATATTAATACAGTATATATTAATGGAAAAATGCACTTTTTCAAAATAAATGATCTGAAAACAAGACATAATATCTAATAATGTTTAAACAGTTTTGTAAATGTGTCATGTTTTAAGGATGCTTAGATATGTTTACTGGTAAACAAAATAAGGATCTCATTAAAAATATGATTTTTATCAGTGTACATGCTGTTATGTACATTGAACTACAATGTTGATTGACAATTTGCAGTTTATGTTAATTGCTATATTACTATATATCATTTGCAGCCGACACCTCCCTCCTCTCGGCCGATCCAGCAGCCGCCGGTGACCAGCAGACCGCTTGTTGAGAAGCAGCTGACAGGTGAGCTTTCACTCTGTTCAGTCATGTCTGAACTGATCTGTCAGCACAGCCCATCAATAGTATTTATTACTCTGTTGAACACTTAAGTGGCTGTTTTTCTTCTTGTAAACTTGGAGTAATTCATTTTTGGGGTTTTCTTGGTTCAAATTTCTGATTCTGGCATTTTGTTCATGAAAGAAAATATTTGAGTTGCATGCCAAGATTACACTTCTGCAAAGAACAGCATGAATGGTCACCAGCATGTGTTCATTATTATTCAACCACCTTACTCAGAAAGTGTACCAATGCTGGTTGACCTTGAACTACATGGCTGTACTGGTCAACCAGTTCATGCAGGTCTAATCTAGTGTTTTCAGCAGAGTTTTGAAGGCAGGGAGATTTAAAATGTAATCTGAGGTTTACTAATGTAGATATCAATCATGAAATAGTTTCGAAGATTGCAAACATTTCTTTGAGATGTGATAGAGTAGACTGACTTTATAAAAACTGAGTGTGTTTATAGAAGCAGCCACTGTGGTATTTGGCGCCCTCTACTGGTTTAAAGCAAATTGGACAATGTCTTTTTACATTTCCTTGCATAAGTATTCTGAAAAAGTTGAGTTATTCAGATTTTGATGTATACAAATCAAAATTGCCTTTTTAAATGTAATTAAGATGCAGTGTATTAAAATGTAATTATTTTAATGTAATTTGTATTTTTTTTTTTAACTCACAGTTGTTACTTATTATATTTGTATACGTTTATATTTGTGAAAATCTCACAATTAAGATGCAGGTTTAATATCATAATTACAGAACATAAAGTCACTAATAATAATATATATTTATATTATATATATAATGATTATAAAACTAACATTGTTGTTATTATTATTATTATTGCATTTTAAAATAAGGTGTTAGACTTTTTTGGCTTTTTTACTACCTCACATCAATACAATCATCTACATATTTTTGTAAATGGTTTACTGAAGTGTGATCTTTCTTTAGAATGAGCTGAATTGGTAAGTTTTGTTGAACATTAGGCTCAGTCGATTCCTCTTGGCAAACTTCTGGGTCCTACGGTGATTCTCGACAAACATCTGGCTCATATGGCGGTTCTCAAAAAACATCTGGTCCTTATGGGGATTCCCGAAGAACCTCTATCTCCCACGGTGATTCCCGGCAAACATCTGGCTCATATGGTGATTCTGAACAAACTTCTGGTTCATATGGTGATTCCCAAACAAACTCTGGCTCGTATGGTGGTTCTCAACAAACTTCTGGCTCATATGGTGACTCTCGACAAACGCTTGACTTAATTGATGTTAGCAGGCAAACTTCAGGGTTGTATGATGATTCTAGACAAGCTTCAAACTCTCTAAGTACGTCAGGCTCAGCTGGTGATGGCATACGGTATTCTGTGGAGTCCAGACTCGGTCCTGCAGGTCCAACAGGTGGGTAACTAATGAGAGAAAATCTCTCAAATGGACATGGAATTTTTGCATAGAAATTCTCAGCAGAATCTCAGCAGAATTTCTACATGATGCTTTGCATGAAAAGCTGGCAAAACGCTGTGGATGTGTAGAGATGGCCAAGAGGGACTGCAGCAAACTGGGAGCAAGCAATAGTGTTGCTGCATATGTATGGCATTTATAGATATGATTGTTATATTGTATTTGTATTGTTTTGTCAAACACAATGCTTCTTGACCTGCTTATAGAAGCTTCTGCTGGTAGGCATATTCTTACATGAATATGTGGAGTGTGGCCCACCTTCCTTGATATTGTCTTGGTATTTTTTTTATTTATTTAGTTTTATTTTATTGTATTGTAGGCTGAATGTCACAAAAACATGTCCAGGTCACATTTCACCACAAAAATATATAAATAAGACATTATAAGCCTTTTTAGGGCCATTTAGATCTTCTGCATTCTGGCATTACTTTCATAAAAAATAAGCACATTTTGCCCTAAAATTCTAAGTTTCATAATGTGTTTAAGTTTTAGTTTTGCAGTATTTTTTGTTTTTTTATTCCAAGAATTCTCAACTGGATTCTTGTTACTATAGTACAGTAATTTTTTAACATCAACATAAAGTAAATGCTGTTCACCAAATGCTAGTTTAAATAAAATGCCCCTTTTTGCATTACAGTAACTTGAATCCGATTTATTTTGCATTTCGGTATTTTGAAAAATTTATTTGACATGAAAAGTATGTCACCGTGTAAAAAAATCTTCTGTAAAAAATTCTAGCTAAATAGGCTTCATTTTCTTCATGCAAAGTCTAATTTCTTATTTTGTTCTTTTGATTTTGGGGTGAAATATGAGCCAGATATGTTTTCGAAAATGTAAAGCATATAAGAGGAAAGGTTATTTTTAAATTAATCAGACATTTTCAAATTTACAGGTGCAAAAGGAGAGAAAGGAGACAGAGGAGAGACGGGTGCCAAAGGTGAGAGGGGTCTTGTGGGGCCGAAGGGTGATTCAGGATCTGGATCTGGATCTGGTGGCAGTGCAAACGGAGAGAAGGTGTGTTGAGTACTGTGAACATCTCTGAGTGTTTCTGTACATCTCTACAGCTCAGTTTTAAAAGTAATAAGCCATGAGAACCTGTCCATTACAGTAATTTATCTATGGTACGGGATGTTGTTGTTATAAAGTACACCAATAATAATATAGTTCATTTAACTATAGGCTTTTTTGGTTGTCAATCAACTGATATGCAATCTTAGGTGTGTGTATTTTGGTTTTGAATGTTGGCTCATCCAAGCAGAATTGAGAGTCAGAGCTAATCGTTTTATAGAAGCAGCTATGTTCAGGTATTTAAGCTGTATAACAGCTTTTATAAGAACAATAACCAGGCAGTGTTAATAGCTATGAGATGACTTGCGTTTATATGAAATGATTGTTCAGCTACAATAGGAGATACAGGGCCCTTTTCTTTTGTCAAATAGTTACATTTCAGTTTTATGTCCTTCAAAACCCACAGTAATGTGTGCAATCAATGATGGGGAGCTTGAATGTTCAGCCATCTGTTAGAGTGGTGAGAGTGGCAGACAGGTCAATCATTTTTGTCTGTTTTCACAGGGTGACGCAGGAGAGAAAGGAATGAAGGTTTGTTCTGATGCTTCTACCTTGACATAACTGTGGCAACATATTTTGCACTAGTTAAATGTGAATGAAAGGAATAGTTCATGCCAAAATTAAAATGTTGTCATCATTTACCCTCATGTCATTATTTATTTATTTATTTTACACAAATTTAGATAATAGGCAAACAGGTGATCTCCCTAACATCTCTTTTGGTGTTTCATCATTTTTGGTGAACTCTCCCTTTAAAAGTAAATATTAATTTCCTCTTTTAATGCATATTGGTTTATTGACATTTATGATGCTTTTTCTCAGGCCTGTTTGCAACAAGAACAATAACTATAATGATAACTATTATTAGTGTCCACACTAAAACACGATTCTGTTTATTTATAATGATTAATTCTGTTTAGTTTAATTAATTAATTCGCGCACGGCTCGGCATGCTGCGTTGAGCGTTTCGTTTTTAAAAGTGTCTGTCCTCTGACTGAACTAGGCTAAATGATTTTTGTTACTATAAAAAAAAATCAAAACGACGGTGGGGGGCGGTGCTGCGGTAGGCGAATGATGTAATCGGTGTTGTGGCTTAACACCGGTATAACCGAAAACACCGTCTATCGCAGCAAGCATAGTGTGAACTCTATTCTTTTCAATTTGGAACGATTTTTAAAACTGTGCTGTTATCATTATAGTTATCGTCCTTGGTGTGAAAGGGCCTTTACTTATGCTCTTATCTCTCTTGTGTTTTGGTTTCAGGGTAGTTCTGGTTTTGGTTATCCTGGATCAAAGGGTGATCGTGGCCCTCCTGGGCCTCCAGGGCCTCCTGGTCCCCCAGGGCCCAGTGCAGAGGTAGAAGTGAGGGGAGATGGGTCAGTTGTTCAGAGGGTGACAGGACCAAGAGGACCACCTGGACCAGCAGGACCCCCTGGCCCTGCTGGAGCTGAAGGGGAGCCGGTGAGTAGATCACAGTGAAAGGAATGGTTCAATTACTGGCTCTATTTTCTGTTAGCGAATGCATTTCCATTTAAAAGGAACAGCATTATACCATAACCGTATGTGTCATAAGTGGTCTTGCATTTGCTGCTGATGTGTTAGAACAGTAATAGATCCCTATGGTGTTCCCCATCACAAGCAGAGAATGGTGTTGTTAATACAGGTTTAAGATATGCATCATTGCAAACACAAAGGCACATTGTGTTTCTGCCCTTGAGACTATGCATAATGCATTGGTCATATCTGAACAAAACTAATATTTTATCCTCTCCTTTATAGGGTGACCCTGGTGAAGATGGAAAAGCTGTAAGTAATGCATTTCATAAAATCGTATAAAATAGACCTGGGTCAAGTACATTTTCAATATTTTTCATTTTTCAATCTGAAATTATACCTGCTTGTGTATTTTGGGGGAACAGTTTGATTTTACTATACAAAATGGGAAGAAAAGTATGTTTGTAGTTGTGATTTTGTGTGTTTGCTTTCATGTGTTTCATGTGCAAATGATTAAAAATCTGTTTTTGTAACAGGGCCAAGTTGGACCTCCTGGTTTTCCAGGAACTCCTGGGAGTTCTGGACCCAAAGGAGAGAAAGTAAGTATTGTTGATGTCCATTATCGTGGCTTATTATGACAGTATCAGGGTTGTGCACCATTTAGAATTAAATTGTGAATGCCTTTTATAGTATGCCAGTTCAACTTTTTGTACTTATGTTTTCATTTTAGGGAGAGCGAGGTGAAAGTCAGCCAGGACCTCGAGGGCCTCCAGGGCTTCCTGGCCCACCGGGAGCCCCATCTCGCTCTGATAGGCCTGTGAGTTCATTATTAGTCAGCTGTTTTTGTGACCACTTTCCTTTTAAAAAACTGTTTCATAATCTCTCCTCTGTATTCATTTTATAGACATTTGTGGACATGGAGGGTTCTGGATTTGATTTGGACAGTGTGCGGGTATGTCCTGTGTGCACTATATTAACTCCTAGGATTAATTCGGATCTAGTGCTCAACAGCTAGAAATCTCCATTTTGGAATGATACATGTCATTCATTGCTGATAATCTTCAATTTACTTCATATACACTAATGTTTAAAAGTTTGGGGTTGGTAAGATTTTTTAATGTCTGTGAAACAAATCTCTTTTGCTCACCAAGGCTGCATTTATTTGATCATAAATACAGTAAAAACAGTAATATTGTGAAATATTACAATTTAAAATAACTGTTTTCTATTTTTAATATATTTTAAAAATCCCTATGAATGCAAAGCTGATAGTGGTAGTTTTGTTAACATTTTATTTGTAATTCTTAAATTTTCTGTTTATAAAAGCTTGCAGTTATTTACTTAGTAACTTTTTATTTGTTTATAGGCAATGCCTGGTTTGCCTGGCCTACCTGGTCCCCCTGGCCTCCCTGGCCCCCCCGGTCCTGGGTCTTCAGGCTCTGGTGGTTTTGGGCCCCCTGGTCCTCCTGGGCAAAATGGAGCTCCAGGTCAACTGGTAAGTCTAAGGGACATGGTCCATGTGTATACAATTGGTTTGGATTTGTTGTGTTGGAATAAAGCGTTTATTAGTCAGAGACGTGGCCATGTGGGTAATGTGTGCACTCTGTTTCTCCCTGTCATTTTGTGTCATCTTGTTAAAGTCATAAAAATTAAAAAATAAATACATTTAAAAAAAGAATGTTGTTTTTAATAGGGACTTCCAGGTCCACCAGGTGCTGATGGAAAACCAGGCTTAATGGGCCCAAAAGGAGAGAAGGTAGGAAGTCCAGTCTCTTCTAAAAAAAAAAAAAAAACTAAAAACAACAGGAAATTTTATGTTGTGATTTATAAACCTGGAAAAACCTTAGAAATGTATAAAATCTTAAAAAGTTACTCTAAACATTTAATTATCTAAATTTAGCTTTTTGTGGATGCTTGTGGAGAGTAAACATGCTTGCAAGCCAGCGTGATGACATTATTTTGTCTTATTGGAGACATTTGTAAATTAAGCATACATTTTAAATCCATTATTTCACTGGGCTTCCTGTAAAATTCCCAATTCCAGGGACAAACTATTTATGGCTGGGCTCAATGAGTGGGCAGTAACATACGGTAGAGGACATTGGTGGGACCCTCTCATCACAGTCTGGCATACAAATGTTAATCCAGTCTGGCAGTCTCTATAAAATGATTTCTATGCTGTAATGCTGTAATCACAAACGACTGGAAAGGTCATGGAAAAGTCATGGCAATCCATTGGTAAAAAAGTATAGGAACCCTGTCCATACATAGATAGCTGTGCTGGTCCTTTAATGGATTTGGACTTGCATAATTCAGCTCTTTTGAGATCCTTGTAATGGTAGCTATCTTTAGACACTGGACTGATTTTGTGCTCCACAGGGTGATGACGGTGAGCTGGGCCTACCTGGACCTGTGGGAGAGAAGGTCAGTTTGTGTAATGTGTGCACCTCGTGAGAAACCTCTGAAACACTTGTGCGTAGTATGCACATGCTTATCTGCATATCACATATTTGAATGTGGCGTATAACTGTTCTGTACAGCTCAGTGATCTGCAATGCTCTGTAAGAATTCAGTAAAAAAGTAATAATGTCCTATCCAGGTGTGACGCAGCAAGATCCAGTGAGAAGTCTTTACAATAATGATCACTAAACATGTTTGATGTATCAAATATAGTTATGTGGAGTAAGATTTTGTACGAGTGAGATTTCACTGTCAGCGTCAGAAATACAAAACTGTAGAATTAAAAAAAATGTCCTAGCTTTCGTCAATTTCCTAGAGGTTATTAAAACGATCCGATTTTATACTTTTTTCTCACATTAAAACTTTTGTCCATGCCTTTGATTATCTGATATAGCTATTTTCAATTATCTTTTTTGTGTAGATTTTTTTTTGTTTGTTTTATATTTTTTCAAGACCTAGACTTTCAGTCTTAAAACGTGAAAAACTATAATTAAAATATTTTTTAAAAATCATAAAAATTACTTTACAAATATGATAATCTATTTTTTTTTTTATTGTGCACCATTTCCAATCAAGCTGTAATTTTTTTCATTATTAAAAAAACACTGTAAAAGATACATAAAAAGGAGTCATTTTAATCCAAGTCTCTTTAAAATGTCATTTCCATCACTCTCATTTCCACCACAGAATGCTTTCAAACACATTGCATACTTTGAGATGTAGTGGCAATGACAGTTGTTCATTATTAAAAGTGCCCATTGTTGAAGAAAAATGGAAGAATGATGTTGCTTTATTGTGTCACACCTAGTTAGGACACTGTGTGGAAAGCTGCTTCAGAAAACAGCTTTTTCTGAAACAGTCAAACCCACTCGGGGTTCTTTTATGTTTCTGTCTCTGTAGCAAAACTCCTACTTTCCCAGCTATCTTTATGATCTTCTCTCCTACTCTACCTCATCCTTCTCCTCTAAAGCTGCAGGTAGCAGGTCTTGAGTGTGGCAATCGATTTTCTTCACAAACATCTCATCTTTCTACTCTACAGTTCTAATACCTGAAATGTAACATTCTATTATTTTACTGATGGTAGTGTGGACTCTTTGTGACATTGCTTTGTAGATGCATTGTCTGAATGTGCAAACTAACATGTTTTGCTCTTGGTATCTTGAAAGCTAACTTCATTTATCTAGTAGTCACCTTGTTCATTTATTTATCTTTCTCCTTGTGTTTAAAGGGTGCCAAAGGTTCTTCTGGTTCCCCTGGCCTTCCTGGAGAGGGTGGACTTGCTGGTCTTCCAGGACCAATGGGACCTGTTGGACAACCAGGGCCACCTGGTCCTCCTGGCCCAAGCTATCATGTTGGTTTTGTAAGTATTGGTCAGTTATACTTAATTTCTCGCAGCCTTTTAGGAAAAAAAATGCAAAAGTATTGAGTCCTCTGTATGTGTTCAGGATGATATGGAGGGTTCTGGTGTTCACTTCAGTTCAGTCCCTGGAGTAAGAGGACCAGTGGGAATCCAGGTTTGTTTTTTTCTGTTCTGCTTTCATTTACTCTTGTTGATCTTTAGCAGTTCATTTACTGCAATCCTATTTAATTTCAGGGACCTCCTGGTGCCCCAGGACCACACGTAAGACTTCATTTATTTGTTCAAAATAGATTTCTATCCCAAAGATATCATTTTCATATCATACCTAGAGGACTTTTTAAATTAATTTATATCTTGTTCCTCAGGGTAAGCCTGGTTTCCCAGGATTTCCTGGAGTGAAAGGCAGTGAGGGACCTCAGGGAAAAGATGGCCAACCTGGTTTGGATGGCTTCCCTGGACCACAGGTGCGTTTCATTTTAATAAAACTCGTAGGTGCAAATTTAATAAACAGCCCCTCTGATGTGCAGTACTTCAGGCTGATATCAGTGTTTTGCATTTTCCCGCAGGGACCAAAGGGCAACAAGGGAGACCGAGGCGACAGGGTGAGTTTACTTTTGGTCTGAAGTGGTTTTGTGGAATACCTGGGACTTTGAAATCACAAATGACCTATTTAATCATTGTTAAATGTGATCATCTGTTTAGGGTGAACCTGGTCGAGATGGAGCTGGACTTCTAGGTCCACCTGGCCCCCCTGGACCACCTGGACAAATTATTTATCGTTATTCTGAAAATGTAAGTCTTCATATTTATATTGCTTTTTTGCTTATAATGGTCCATATTCTAATTAATCTGTTTGTCATTTTTCTGTACAGAATGATGAAACTGGAGGAGCAGGGCCTCAGGTATGAAAATTCTGCTTCTGATAGTCTATTGTTAGGATGGCAGGGGGCATTAGGATACCAGAAAACGTCTTGTGGGCACTGAAATACAGACCTCAAAAATTTTGTAAAAGTCATATATCGTTTGTGTGATTTTCAGGGTGGGGCTGGTCTTCCTGGTCAAGCAGGATTCCCAGTTAGTACTGCATAACTTAATTTGTCAGCCCAACCCCTTTTTTGATAAAAAAAAAACCTTAGACATTTATACTGTGTATTCTAGAAGTAATTAATAATGCCACAAGGCAGGAGAGAATGTGATTTTTACCATGGGTAAATAGTTTCTTAGGCATGATGCAAAGCACAGAAGCCCTTAACCATGTAATGTTCAGTTAATAGTTACATTTGTTATTAAAAATAATTATACATTACATATACATATATATTTACAATGATACATTAATTTATCTAAACTTTATAGTCAGAATTATGTGTTTTATAATCAATCTTACACTCCATCTACTTATCCAATCAGGGCCCAATGGGACCAAAGGGTGACCGAGGAGAACCTGGTTCACCAGGCTACGGCATTAAGGTTTGTAAGCAAAAACCAATAGACAAAGCTTAATATGAAGTGTTTAAAAACCTCAAGGTCACTGCTGTAACATAATTTTGTTTGCAGGGTGAGAAAGGAGAACCTGGACTTATTCTTGGACCTGATGGAAACCCACTTTACCTTGGTGGATTGACAAGCCATAAGGTATTTTATTTTTTTGTTTTGTTTTGCTTTATTTAATTTAATTTTTAATGTATTTTATTTCATTTTATTTTTGGATGGAAAGTGAATTGGATATTGAAGTGTCCAGGAAACATACAGTTTCGTTCAATATGACTTTTGGACACTTTTGGACGATAATTCCCATATTTTGTGTTTCTTCATATTTTTAATGATTTAACTAACATTCAAAAACGAGGAAAATACTAAAGATTAAATAGGTGTAAAAACTTTTTAGTAACGTATATCAAAATGAATTAGTTTTTTCTCTCTGTAGGGTGAGAGTGGGCTTCCTGGACCAGTCGGACCTCTTGTATGTTTCTATTTGTTACATTTTTTTTTTATTTTAAGTTAAAAGAAAAAAACTCTATCATGCCTCTATTTGGAACATTCTGAGCAACATCTAAGTCATATCTCATTTTATTCAGGGTCCAGCTGGACCTCCTGGATTGAAAGGTGAATTTGGAATGCCAGGCAGACCTGTAAGTCTCTCAAAATGAAATTTTCATCAACAAAAAAATATTCCTTGACAGACAACAGCATATTTTACTGACTGTGTACTTAATTTCATTTTATGACTATAGGGTCGCCCAGGTGTAAATGGATACAAAGGAGAGAAGGGAGAACCAGGGTCAGGGTCAGGGTCAGGCTCTGGATTTGCCTACCCAGTAAGTACACCACAAGCTCTTGAATTTGAAAATAAATGCAGTTTGTTCCATCAGGTATGGATCGCTTGGACTCATAAGTTATTTTTGTTTCTTTTCAAGGGTCCCCCTGGTCCCCCAGGGCCTCCTGGTCCCCCTGGACCTGCTGTGCCCTTGGACAGATTCGGTGTAAGTGCTTTTTGTGTCAAATAAACTATAATTTATGCATGAAACATTGCGGAATAAGCTCCATATGCTGGCTATGTTGAACTGAAGTGATCATGATTGCAACAGCAATAATTTGCAATCTCCTTTTTCCATTTCAGAGATATGAAGATTATTCGAGACAGTATCCAGGTAGGTTATTGCAGTCATTCTTGTCACAGCAGATAATCAAAAGATATTTTGTCACAAGATCCTGAAAGTCAACATGAAATCAAAACGTACTCTATTTACATGATTTGACATACATGATTTAAAGGCACAATATGTAATTTTCGCAGCTATGGTGTTTGTATATAAATGTATCTTAGCAGTGTGGACACAAATGCCCTACAATGATAAAAGTCAATTAATTCCTTTTTTTGATCCCCAAAAAACCTAAACAGTCTCAATTATCAAGCCGATTTGATTTTCTGAGCAGTATGACGTCATACTGCTCAGACCCCGCCCACAACCACTGACGGAATGTCCTGTATTAGCATATCTCCGCCCTCAGCCAATTGAACACTGTCTGCCATTTTCTCCATGCTTGAGCAGCTGTAGCGACATGTCTTGTAAGCAATGCAGGTGTTTTATAGTTGGATGTAAAAGTGAACATGAGTCTTTATGTTCTCCCGACATCAGAGCAACTGAGGAGGCAGTGGATTAGTTTTGTTTTTGATGGTAACGTGCCACCGAATACACAACAAATAGAACAGAGGGGTGGGGTGAGCAGTAGCTCATTATCATTTAAAAAGACATGGACCGAAACGGGTCACTGTGAACAGAGCTGTGCTTGACAAGGTAAAAAAGGGTGTTGTTTTTACATGACCATTGAGGAATTTTAACCAAAGTATGTTGCAGACATTTCATAAAGACCCTAAAGAAACATACCAAGGTGGAAAATGGGCATCCGATGTCCCCTTTAAACAGTTTTTCTTTAGTGATGATTTAATAAACTTCACTTTGGTACAGTTATTTCCCAATGGAAAAAATCAAGTCCCAACCTACAATTTATGTCCCTTTCAATGACTTGTTTTGCTCAAAAAATTCAACATTACAGGAGAAAAACGGTTCAAGAACTGCATTTCATGTGGATTTTAATATGTAGAATGAGTTCACATGTCAAAGCTCTGTGAATTTTTGACAACTTTAAACAATGCGTTGTCTTGTTTTCTTAAGCTATGAAAGGAGAGAAAGGAGACCAGGGAGCTCCTGGAGTTCCAAGGTCGCCAGGTAAAATTTACCACTGTTGCTGTTTCTAGACACTCAGGGCCGATTGCGGCGGCAATAACAAAGCTGTCCTGGCCTCTGTAAATTTATTGGCTGAAGTACCCTGACTTAGTAGCTTGACATCATTATCAACTTATTGTAAAAGGTATTGTGGTATTTAATGTATTAATGCAGTATTCTGTCATTTTTTCCACAGGTTTTTCCTCTAACTTTGATATCTATGCCCTCAAGGTATGTGATTCACTAAATATATAAATGAAAGTCTTTGATGAAACGATTTGATTATGATTTCAACAACACAAAACATGGCACTCCTTTCCTTAGAATGAGATGAAGGGGGAGCACGGTGAGTCCGGTCTTAAAGGAGAAAAAGGAGAGCCAGGAGGAGGATTTTATGACCCTCGTTTTGGAGCTGTACAGGGACCACCAGGAAACCCTGGACCTCCTGTAAGAATCATTGGGAATTTCTGGACATAACCCAAATTGAGTATGGATGGTCTCATCAAAGACATCTTTTCTAGGGACCTAAAGGAGACTCAATCGGAGGTCCCCCTGGACCACAGGGCCCACCAGGACCACCTGGAGTTGGTTATGATGGTCGTCCAGGAAACCCAGGACCTCCTGGACTCCCCGGTCCTCCAGGGTCACCGTCATTGCCAGGAGCCTACAGACCACGTAAGAAAAAATAAGTACAATTCTTAACACACTTAGAATATTTTTGAGGAACTTAAATAACAGACAGTGTTGTATGATTTGTGTTTGTTTCAGAACTCAGTATTCCCGGACCTCCAGGTCCCCCGGGCCCTCCTGGAGTTCCTGGCACTGGATCTGGAGTGAGTGGGATGATCATTAAAGAAACCATTAATGGCGTGTATGGGATTACATACCTGACACTTTCTACTTTAATCATGCCCATGGTGTCAGCAGGTGACTTTCCTGAGGTCTTATGACATAATGATGGCTACGGCACGCAGACAGTCTGAAGGTGCTTTGATTTACATTTTGGACAGAAACGATCTCTACCTCAGAGTTCGGGATGGTGTCAGACAAGTGATGGTATGGTGCTTAAACACTCATTTTTGTTCACACCTTTTAATTTGTTGTAAAATAATATTAAAAATGCATTTCATACATAAAATTACTTTAATAACAATTTTTATAATATGAGCATTTTGAAAAAAATTTTTAATAAAATTGTCTGCCAAATCAAAGTTAGTGTTGTATAACCAACAAACAGGTAGCAATTGTGTTGTCATGTGACAAGTAAACCATTAAAACAGGAAATGGTATTGCAACTGTCATGACTATCATAAATATCATGACTGTTGTGGTCAGTAAGTTCATTAAAAATATAATTATATAATTGACATTTTTATGGCATGACAGGATTTGTTCTGTTTGTCATATGATAAAAAAAAAAAAAAACTTCATCATTTTTAATAATTGTAAAAATAAATAAATAAAATCAATGAAAAATGTGTTTGACAACATTTTGGAAAGTAATATTATTTATGATTTTGAAAATAGTTATTTAAGCACACTCAAATGTACTCCAGGCGTAATAAAATATGTTTTATTAGTTGGTCACACCACTTGCCATAGTTAGAGGCGTTAAACCAAAATTATGGTATGATAATCAAAAAGACATAAAGGCTTTTTCCAGACATTGAAAATCAACATGAATGCATATTTCTAGGAACATGGTGGATGTTATTTAAACTAGATTTTTTCATTTCATCATTTTATGCATTTTTATTTGTCATTGACTCATTTTAAAGAGAACATTACAATAGGGTTTATTCTTTTATTTTTTTGACATGTCTTCTCAAATTCTAACACAGTTTTCCTTTTATTTGCAGCTTGGAGATAATAAACCCTTCTTTGGAGAGCTGGTAAGGAGTGTGAATAAAGCTCTTTTTTATGCTTTCACATTCAAATAAGCACCCACAGTTTAATCAAAGGAGGATGGAATTAGTGGATGTGCATATCAATTCCTGAAGGTATGACTAGCTTGTTGGCTCTTCCTCCAGGACAATGAAGTGGCAGCGGTCCAGCCGCCCCCTGTTGTTCACTATTCCCAAGACCACACAGCTGACAATGGAGCAGAGCAGATTTCTCCACCGCACCAGCCGATCGAGTTTCCAAGGAGGGAGCCAGAGAATAGAAACCCCAGTCCGCCCGACTCCCATTACCCAGATCCACGATACCCACCCTACACTGATAACAGGTACATCGATCCTGTACAACCACATAGATACCCCGTTCAACCTGAGAGGAACCCCATCACTCCAGCCCGCCGCCCTAGCCCCCCTGTCAGTCAACCGGAGGGCCACACCCACACTTCTGGACCAGGGGTTAGTTCAGTCAAATTCACCACAACGTTTGCACAGGTCCCCTGTGTTTATTTCCTTTTTTGACACCATTTTCATTTTCTGTACAGTTGCATCTTATCGCCCTGAATTCTCCACAAGCGGGCAACATGAGAGGCATTCGTGGGGCAGACTTCCTGTGCTTCCAGCAGGCTCGGGCCGTGGGCCTGAAGGGAACGTTCAGAGCCTTCCTGTCTTCCAAACTTCAGGATCTCTATAGTATCGTCCGCAAATCTGACAGAGAGACATTACCGATTGTTAACCTCAAGGTGTGTAGCAGTGTTTTTTTTTTTTGTATCATTGAGATACTATTGTAGTTTTTGTTAATATTTTGAATTTTATTTTATTTTTATATTTTCTTTTCTTTCATGTTAATTTTAGTTAAAGTTTTAGTAATTTTTTTGTGTGTTTTAAAAGTGTATATGAGTGTTTTTTTATATTTCTATATAGGTTTTGTTATTAATTTTATTTTATTATTTTTTGTAATTTTTTTCTTTTTTGTGAAACTAAATGAAAATAAGAAATGTTGCCCTGGAAACTAGCTGAAATAAAAGAATTATAAGTTTTATATATTTCATTTTATTTATCATTTAATTTAACATTTTTTTCTGGGGAACGCAAACGTTTTTGCGAGCGAGCAAAAAGTGTTGAAATAAAAAAAAATTCTTCCCATCTCATTATTATTATTATTATAATAAATTATTGTATTTTTTTTCAGATTTTCAGGCTTGTAGAATTATCTATGTTGGTAGATGAGTGTTCAATTGATCTTTTGGATCATTTTGACAATTCCTCAACATTTTCTCCTCAAGACTAAACTTACCCAATGAACTCACTTAGTGATCTTGGTTGTTTCTTGTCTTTTCATGGCATTAATATTTCCTTCTGCAGGATCAAGTCCTTTTCAGAAGCTGGGAGTCTCTCTTCAGTGACTCAGAGAGCAGGATGAAGGACAATGCTCCTATCTACTCATTTGATGGCAGAGATGTCCTGCGGGACAGTGCCTGGTGAGTGCCAGTGGCTTTGGCTGATCCTGTGAACCCTTCAAACAGAGGCCTCAGCACAGCGTCCTGTCACTTTTCATTTTTCTTTAAAAAACGCTCAGAGTATTGGAGCTAGAGATCAATGCTCTATCTATCTATCTATCTATCTATCTATCTATCTATCTATCATTCTATCTATCGTTCTGTCTTTATGTTGATTCTATCACTCTATTGTAATATCTATCAGTCCATTGTTCTTTTTTTCTTTCTTGCTATTAAGTGCCTTATGCAACTCTTTCAACGATTCAGTGCCCAAATTTTGGCCTGTCCAGTTATTGACTCTTCCTCCGAACTCATTGTAGCTGTCTAGTACCTTGTAAACAAAATGTAGTTTCCCAGTAGATGGATAAAAAGCTGTGCATCCTGATCCCACAGTCAGGCAATGCGATTTGACTTTGCAGTTTTGGAAAGGTCTTCCAGGTTTTGATTGAATGCAGTCTGAGGCTATCTTAAACCACCTAAAATGACCATTTTTCTTCCTCTATCCTGTAGGCCAGAGAAGATGATCTGGCATGGGTCCAGTGACAGGGGTCACAGGCAGACGGATAACTACTGTGAGACGTGGAGGGCCGGAGACCGTGCGGTGACAGGCTTGGCCTCGTCTCTGCAGGCTGGCCAACTCCTCCAGCAGACCTCCAGCAGCTGCTCCAGTTCCTACATCGTGCTGTGCATCGAGAACAGCTACATGACACAATCCAAGAAATAAAGCCGTCCTAAAGAGCCTTTGAACACTCAACACAACCGTTTATACAGGCCGAGTTTCGCTCCAGTAGATGCCTGTATCTAACGAAAAGGAAAAAAAGAATATGATAAAAAATGTAAAAAGAACTGAGTCTGCCTTAAGGAGAATCTGTTCCCTCACCGTAACGCCAAAGAGACAGGTTGAACATGGAGGTGTTTGCTCTCTCTCAGGGCATTGGCACATATTTTTCAGGGGGTTAAACCAGAGAAGTGAGGCCACCCGAGGCAGTGTTTCGAACTTTATCCATATAAAATTTTGTATATGAATTGTTTGTCGTCTGTGTTGCTTTTTTTTTTTTTTTTTGAAGATGTCTTAATTGGTATATCTAACCAATTTTAGCTATTTTTTGTGTAACTTTTTTCTACTCATTTGTCTGTACCGTTTCCATTTTCATCCAAGGTTTGTTGAATACAGAGGGGCAAACCTGACATTTTAGTTTTAGGATTCAAAAAGAGAAAATATTTATTTCGCAATAAAGAGAGCTAAAATATGATTTGAAACTGTAAACCATACTTTTTTCTATTTTAGTGAGCACTTTTACATACTTCCACAGATAAAAGTGCAAGACTTTACTTTACAATAGTTAACTGTAGCTAAAAATGGTCACTGTCTCCAAAAAGCTCCAGTTGGCAAAAAGATGCTTTGAGTAATTCAATACCTATCCCTCAAAAGAGTTTTTGTAAAAAACAAAATTATTTTAAATACGTCTGTTGCATCTATGGGATCACTGTGTGTTTCTATTGTGATTAATGTGAAATTTCATATGCCCCTTCTTCTTAGTGTCATTGTTTTACACTTCTGGTTGATTCCAGAAGTTTTGATAAAGCAAAGTGACTGATTTAAGTCAAGAGGGGAAGCTGCAAGATTTTTGCAACAAATATTAATGTAAAAAAATCTGTTACTCAAAAATAGCGGTTACTTGTCCTATAATTCATTGGACGTTTCAGAGGCTTTGGTTGCATTCGGTGCTTTTCACTGATGAAACAGCTGCTGACAGTGTTGTTTGGGAGAGACAGATGTGTTTTATGATGACACTTTATCTTCTATCCATATGGAATTTCAGACACCTAATCCACTGTAGTGCTACTGATGTATTCAGTACAACCCTGTGGGCTTCTAGTCTTTTTTAAAAACCAGTTTGTGCTGTACCATGTCTCAGAGGCACTGAATAAATGATTTTGTTTTTGTTTGCCACAATAATTCTGGCACTAGTTCTTGTGTATCAAAATCAATTTCCTTAAAATCTGACCTGTCTACACATATCTTAGACTCTGTTGTCTATTAATGCACAATATTAACATATCAGACACCATTCACAAGCCATTTCATATCATGAATGTGTTTACTGTTCACTGACTGATTACTAAAAAATAAAGGTACATTTTTCCTCTCACAAGTATGTATTTTAGACTTTAAATTCATAAAGGCTTTTACCCATTGTTTTCATTTGTGAGATTAATTTTTCTCCACAATAATTAGATGTTTAAAAGCCAAAAATTGCTATTTGTCATTATTTACTGAAGTCATATATACATTAAAAAAAACATAGTTTGAAGAACTCGTCGTTAGGTTAAGATTAAGTGACTTTTGGTATACAGTAAATCCTTACTTCTAGTTCACATAAAAGCCACCTTTGATCAGCATAAGTGCCCTTCCTTCTCAATGGTTGGAATTGTAAACTGCGATTCTGCTAAATGCTGTTTAAGCACTGAAATACTCTCTCAGGCAAATGTCTTCTGTGCAACTACTGTGTGGCCAAGGGCCCCAAAGTCCTGATTCATGCATGTCTCTAAATTGCACAGCATGCCCCTTTGATGACATTGCAATCCCTCCTCAGTGCCTATTGCACTGATTCTCTGTCCGCCTGAAGGGTTTTACAGCCTGTTCAATAGGATTTAGCGATGTGGCCTTGAGAGGGCTTCAAGGCACAAATCAGAGACTGCTGACAGCGAGCTGGTGAAGCGGCCCTTTTGTATCTCAGGACTTAAAGGTCCTCTGCAAGCATGTCAAGCAGGTGGACCAAGCCTGTGGTAATATAACCCATGGGCATTTGAGAAAGTTGATTAAGTGAAAATTAAATAAAAAATAACTAAAATGCTATGGTTGTTAAAGAGTACGGTTTCAAACGATTTCAGATAGAGTATGGATCATCACAGTGCAGGATGACAGCAGGAACTCAGCGGGAGTTCAGCGGGATGACTGTCTTTATGATTAACTGTTGTTGTTTTTGTTGTGATCTGTACTGAAACAAAAGAAAACAAAGTTTTATTCTTGGGTAAAAAGTCCTTAAAGGGGTCATATGATGCTGCTAAAAAGAACATTATTTTGTGTATTTGGTGTAATGAAATGTGTTTATGCGGTTTAAAGTTAAAAAAACACATTATTTTCCACATACTGTACATTATTGTTTCTCCTCTATGCCCCGCCTTTTTGAAACTACTTAATAAAGGCCTCCTGAAGACAATCGATGCGTTTTTGTAAGAAAAATATTCATACGTCCTACATCATCTGCTGGAACGTGACTCTCTCGTGTACGCGCGTATGACAGTTAGTGGAAGCTAGAGATTAAGGTTTATAAAGTTTAAAATATGGATATTTTTCTTACAAAAATGTATCGATTAGCTTCAGGAGGCCTTTAACCCCCCGGAGCCATGTGGGGCACTTTTTTATGATGGATGGACACAGTTTATTGGACTTCTATTGGACTATTGAATACTACCACCCATCCACTGCAATTATAAAGCTTTGAAGAGTCAGGACATTTTTAAATATAACTCCGATTGTATTTGTCGGAAAGAAGAAAGTCATATACACTTAGGATGGCTTGAGGGTGATTACATCATAGGGTAATTTTAATTTTTGGGTGAACTATTCCTTTAAAATGCCCAAATCTTCTCCCAAAAGCCTCTGGCTGATTGACGGGTGCAAATTTGTGTATACTTAACAGCATCATATTCTGTAGACCCATCAATAGGGGTCCCCTCAGGGGAAATCCATCAGAAAATAAAAATAAAAAAGATAAATGACAAAAGTGGCCTAATTTAACTGAAACTAATATAGAAAGTATAGCAGTTTTATCTGTAAGTCCTCTGCTATTAACTTAACACCTCATCAGTCAAATCCTCGGTTTAGAACACAATTTGATTTGGATTTGTCTAAAAAAGACGCTTCTCTGTAAGTGTGAATTGTTGATGTTGACTCGAGAACCGTCAGGACAGATTCATTTCGAATAGTAAACGAATCATTCAAACCATTTTGATGCGAACCTATTCATTAAAAAGATCCGATTCAAAAGAGCAATTCGTTCACGAATCAGACATCGCCGTCGGTGGTTAAATAAGAAGCAATTCTGGTGATGGACACATTGTATTATTTTTTCCTCCCTCCCTTCTGTCTTTACATTGCCTTTAATATACATTAACAATAGATAGTTTTTTCTTTTAATCTAACGTTATTAATAGGTTTTCCTATTTCTAGATTTATGTATTTAGTTTGGAAAATGTAAAGTTGACGAGCTACGGTAAGCCTGAACGTTAGCGATGAATATTTACATTTTGAACCAATCAGTAAACAACACTTGACAGTGACGTAAACCAGAGCGAAGCGAGTTCACGGCAAAACATCTAGAATGGATAACAGGTAAAATATATATTGATCATAAGATACAGCAGAAAATCGGGAACGCAGATGATTTGCCAAAACTGGTTCTAAAGTCAATTCACTGCCGAACTACAGCAGCTCTGTCACGACAATAAGCACGCATATTATTTCTTTCTGCTATTCAAAGCTACAATCGCCTGATTGCTGATTCGCTGTTTATCGCTATCATAAATTTGTGTAAATGCGTTTATGTTGCCTGTGCCGCTGCCAGAGAGAGCGCCAGCTCTTGCAGGGTATTTGTAGTTTTGATGAGGCTGTGCCATCTTGTCATTTCTGAAGCACCTACTGTACATTTCTCGTCTCCATATTTCTCAGAAAGTTCATCCAAATATACAGGTATTTTCTTCTTATTATGTATTAGTCAGTTTTGGTATTATTTGTATTAATTATTATTTGGTTACCTGATCATTAGTGATGTAGCAGCTGGTTCCTCTCACTGTTGTCACAATGGTTATATTTCAGTATCTTTAAGGTTGAAATGTCCAAGTGTGTTGTTTTCAAATACATAATTCCAAACTTGTATGTATGTATGTAAGTGTTTATGGGCATTGTGTAATTGCCTTTTCTTCAATAGCCTTTCCTAAGGTATATGACTATACAGAAAAGTGAAAGGTAAACACTTGATTAAAAAGTGAAAACTGGTTTACACAGTATGAAAAAACAAAACAAAAACAAACAAACAAATAAACAAAAACCTACATTAATTGACTCTACTATTATTCTAAATTGTGTAAAATTGCTTATCAAATAAAATAGATATATAAAAAAATTCTCATGCTTTTACTTCTAGTACAGTTAATAGAGCACTGCAGTATCCTAAATATAAGCCTTCATTTTTCTATTCTTTGTAATCAGCTTTTTATACTGACCCCCCAAAAAAGGGGTGACAGATCCAAAAAAGCTTGTTGCACCCCTGTCGAGTGATATAATCTGCAGCTGACTGCAATCTCTAGCGCTGGCACAGGAAATCTATATTTAACAGCAAGTAAGTAATAACAAAGCGCATCCAAATGGTCTACAGACGGTAATGATACGAGAGCGGGGCAAGATGTTGGCTTTAATTACATTGGTAGCGGAGGCAAAAGCCATGTCTGTTAGACGTGCTGTGTTTATGCTGTCTTTGTGAGTCACTGAAATGAAGATGCTGTGCCGCTGAGCGCTGTTGGTTTTATGGAGGTGGTTTATGCTGCTGCTTCATTTACTATCTTGCACTCTCATCTTTGCATATGAAGCTGCCAAACCTGTCAATGAGATGCAGCTTAAATGAGATGTCACAAGAATGGCTATGGAAATATGATAGCCCTCATTACTCAAAATTATATTGAGCAAAATGTTGGCTTATTTGTTGCACTAACAATGAAATCATAATCATTGCAATCTACTGACTTTCAGCCATATGAGCAGGGTCCAAAATGAATTTTATGCCTCACTCATGCACCAGTGGATGTTAACTGAGACAATTTGCGATCCATAAATATTTTTTACTGACCATGAAAATGTATTTTAGATAAAGCATTAAAGGAGTCATATCATTAGGAATTACATTTTTAGGAATCATCATTTGAGATAATAATCAAGTTGATTGTGCTATAAAAACATACACTGTAACTTTTACTAAAATTGTAAGTTTTAGGTTTAATATTTCCAATCCCAAACATCATCTGATCATCTCACATCACTTATGTCAGATGAAACATTGCAATTGGTCTTTTACTGTAATTTAACCTAAGCTCTTTGGAAAAACATGCCTCTATTTACATTTTTGCAAAACTCCAAAAACGTATATAATCTATACATGCAATTCACTGCAGTTTCAGCTGAAATGACCACTAGTGGTAGTAAAGCACCAAAACCTTTTATTCATGTTCACACAAATTAATTACAGGGCAGACTATCAAAGACTTATTTTCACATGGTTCCTTGCAGAATACTGTTTAAAACATTTACCGTAATGCAGAGTTTGTAAACAAATACATTTGTGATGTTTTTGTATTACATAATCAGCTCCATTTGTATGGCTTTTCTTGACATAGTAAACTTGCTCGAAAGCTCACCTGGCACATCATTGCACTTGCAATGCGGTGAAACACGAATCATGATAAAAGAGTTCAAAGACTCGTAGAAGTAGGCTATAATGGCATGGTTGCTGCAACAAATGTGCTTTTATCTAATGTTTGCTTTTGTCAAAACTATCAGTTAGGTTTTGGGTAGGTGGTATGTTATTTTTAAACATGATAGAGCATTAATCTTTTAGAGCCACTCACCAGACATTTCATTTCTGAACTGCCACGATATGTACAAAAATAAACAATGAAGTATATCCAGATTCACGTTCATCTGTTTAAGCTAAAACCGAACGTGCTTTTAGCGCAACCACTGGATATTTTTCTGTGAAAGTGTCACAAAAGAAGAATCAATTTAACATCACTTTGCAGAAATGTCGCCACAGGCACGTTTTTCCAAAGAGCCTGGGTTGGATTTAAACCATTTATATGTTGCAATTCTTAAAAACAGGCCTATAACCAATTATTCCGCTTTATTTAAAACTACAAACCCGCTGTTTATTTCTGTTTGATGCCCACATATGTTTGTTTTTATTGTCAGTCACTGTTTAAAGACATCAAACCCAGTTATAATGATATCCACTTATAAGTGCCATGTTATAAATCCTCTTGCCTAAGCGGTGCCCATCTCCCCTGCTAAGCATGACATTTAAAGCATGATTGTACTCCAGAATTAATGAATATTTGATGAGATATCTTTCTGAATTTGTAGACTAAGGCAGTGGTATGCCATGCTTTCAAAACCCCATTGTTGTAAATGCGTTTATAATGAAACAGATCTGTGTCTCAGACTGAATGTAAATCACTGGGGCAGTAAGTGTGATGACAGACTCTATATACAGGCTGAATAAATACTATTTTTTTGTAGTGATTGTGGATATTTACGCATCAAGCCATACATAAGCCATTAAGTCTCTTGTGCATCAATGGATTTATGTCTAAATCTCTGTTATTGCTGGCACAGCGCGGCAATGGTCTTGGCAGGTTTAGTGGTGGAAGTTAAGTGCTTTTCCCCCCTCACTTCTGTCTTCTTAGACCTGAGTTCACTTGTACCTTTCACTCTCACAGCTCTCCACACACCAGTATCTCTGTAGCTGGAAACATATCCGATGTGACATCTCCTCCTGTTGCTCATGCATTTTTTATGGGCCCTCCTCTCCCACCCAGTCCTCTTGGAGGAAGCCCTGCGTGCTACAGTCTATAGCACATTTCACCGTCGCTGTCAACTCCATGCTTAAGCTGCTTTACTTGTAAATACTGATACTCTGATGTATGGGAGGGCTGTGTGCGAACACCTGCTGAATCATCATAGGTTTGTGTTTGCTCATATTATGCATATCGGCCCATGTTATGATGCATGATATCGATAGGTGCATCGATTTCACCGCTGCACAAGATTCACTGAGCAGAAGTGCGTAAACCGAGAATGGCTCAGGAGCCTCGACCCTGAAATAATGCCGGGTCACTCGGACGTCAGCAGAATCGGGTGCTAAAAGAAGTTTCACCACTTTGAGCACCACCTTGTCATCCTGAAAGTATATAGAGGTGCCTTCCTTGTGGTTGTTGATAGGACATTATTACATCTCTGTCCCCACATCGGTTCTTCCTGCTGTGAAGGGGATAGTGCCGATGTGGTTTTCATTCGTCATTCTAACAGTTCACCATTGATCACTTCTCAAGCCAAGACCTGAGCCAGAGTATTGATCTGGAAAACAGAAAAAAAAAAAGGTCTTATGAAATGAGCTCCGTTCCGGGTCTGTGATTTTGGTTTTATGCAGAGAAAAGAAAAGAAAAGTAACTTTTTGATTAACAGGCAAAATTTGCCACCCCAGACTTGATTTTTAGGTGCATTTTTAATGGTATTAAGGTGATATGTTTAATGGTATTATAGCCAAATAAAAATGTACTGTCATCCTTACGGCATATTAAAACATAAAACAATTAAAACAACACTACAGTTCAAAAGTTTGATTAAAAAAAACTATTATTATATAAAATAATATTATTATTATTTTTTTTTTTCTGTGATGGCAAAGCGGAATTTTCAGCAGCCATTACGCTAGTCTTCAGTGTCACATGATCCTTCAGAAATCGTTCTAATGTGCTGATTTGGTCCTCAAGAAACTTTTATTATTATTATTATTATGTTGCTTTTTAATATTTTTGTGGAAACCATGAATTTTTCTTTAATATAATATTCTTCAATAAATGGAAAAATGAAAAGAACAGCATTTATTTGAAATAGATATCTTTTGTAATATTACAAACAATGTTACTGTCACTTTTGATCAAATGCATGCATCCTTGCAGAATAAAAGTATTAATGTCATTCATTCATTCAAAAAAATTGTATCCCAAACTTTTGAACAGTAGTGAATATATGTAACTGTATTTAATAAGTTCATAAAATGAACTCATATTTTACAGTATGTGATAATACGCATAACCAGACCTAAAAAAAGGCATATTAAAGGGGTCGATTTCATGCGATTTCAAGTTTTCCTTTCTCTTTGGATGGTGTAAATAAATAAGAAAATACAGTCAAGATAAGTCATAAATACAAAAACAGAAAAAACCCCCGAAGGCTCAGGTGCAGGACATTGTGTGACATTCAGGTGCACTGAAGTGTGCGGTTATTTTTTGTTTGGTTTGTAAATAAATAATAATAATATTTAAAAAAATAGCAGGAATTTATGATGTTTTTTTGGCCAAAATGTAGAATTTCATTTGGAATTTTTTGATACTAAGTTTTTTTTTTCTTTGTTTCTGTCCCGGATTATAAATAATGGGACACAGCACCAAGCCTGAAAGTGTGATAATCATGCGCATTGATCACCGTGTTAAAAGTTATTCCTTCTCCTTCTCTATACGCAACATTTCTGCCTGCTTAACATCATTGCACCTTTCCGAATCCCTTCCCGTGTAGCCTGCGCCTCTGCCAGTTCTGCAGTGGAGCATGCAGCGTTATTCTGCTAGGTTAAGTGTGGCACAATCTAATTACTCTAATGTCGGTTGCGGTCTTAAATCACACTTATTGGGTAAGTGCGCCCGTTTGTCTGTCCTTCAGAAGGGAAGCCGCTCCGCTCTGCTCTCGGACTAATTATTCCAACTGGATATGAGCAATTGCACTTATTGGCTAGGGCATGGCACCGGCTGCCAAAGCTCCCATTCGTTGCCAGTGAAGTGTGTGTACGATTGGGTCCTGGGAAGGAGTGGGAGGGGCATTCTCTCTTTCCTCCCTGTGCTGGAGCGTGTGTGGATGTGAGCACTCTTTTCTCTCCTATTATCTGAGTGGCTGCAGGTACTGGTGTCTGCCTCTATGCCTCTGTGCCAGAGGGATAAAGAGGGAAAGAAAGAGGACTAGTGCTTCATATCCCCCCTTTGGCCTCCCCGTCTCCCTGCTCCCTGCCACTCCATCCTTCCTTCCTCCCTCCCGGACCACCCGTCAGCGGCTGGATCAACCTGCCCGGACCCTCCTCCCACAACCCCTTTGACTATCCTCACTTCACCGTCCCGTCTTCTGAACTGTGTGCAGGTAAGCCAGCACCTAAATGTGACTTTGTTGTGCTTTTTCCCCGCTTCTCTACACTCTTTCCTCTTTGCATGTCATTTTGTCATTGTTTCTCACACACGCTCTTTCTCACGCACCCTCCCTCACTCTCTTTAGCTTTCAAGTTTTCCCCTCTGGCAGTTCCTTTCAGAGGAAAGCGTGCAGAGAGAGATGAGGGATAAGAATCTGTGAGGTCACTGTTTTCGAGCCCAAACTCAGTTCACACAGAGTGCTTACCACTTTCTCTATCTAAGACTTTATCTGAAGCGATGTATTGCCCACCAGCTATGGATACGCTGGAAAACCGATGCTCCGCGCCGCGAACCGAGTGTGTACTTTAGCTTGACACGCTTCCTCTGTGTTGTCCTTCACCCCTGCAGCAGTTTATTTTCTGTGTGTCAGAATTGTTTAATGCTGCGGTGTTTTGAGGAAACTTACAGATGGTTTTGTGGATCTAGGATTACGAATGTCATGATGTAACTACTGGACTAAACAAGGTATTCACGGTTAATTCAAACATTTAATATGGTCAGAAACATAATTCACGCACAATGCAAGTGCTTGTATTTTTGTAGAAAAAAGTATTTTAGCATAATTTTTTTTTTATTTTTGAAAATGTAAAAAGTATTTACAACAGGGCCACAAACTTAAGCATAATCGTTTTAAGTTTGTGGCGCTGTTGTAAATGCGTTTTAAACTTTTTAAAATACATACAAATTTTAAAAATTCTCAAATAATTTTTTTCACCAGTAGCCCCTTTTTAGTCCGATTTTACTGAAAAAGTGTAAACATTGAACTTTGCTCAGCCCAACATTCGTTCAGTTTTTGGCAGCATGATTTGTTGATCCCACCAATAGTTTGAGGAAGCATTTATAAACATTCAGTGTTCGTTGAAATTAGTGGGGCAAAAAAATACTGTGCGTTCAAGTCCTCCTGGGAAGTTTATGAATGGGGAAGTTGTAATTACGATGTCAGATACATTCAAATCACATTGGTCAGAATAAGATGGCGATGTACCTTTTCTACAAGAAATACAGCAAGGTTTTTTAACTCTAATTCTACAAAATGAAGAATGCATATCAGATGTTTTTACTTCACTGAATATATGAAGGTGCTGTAAATGGAATTGTTAAATATTCATAATTGGTCAAAACAATGGTATTTTGTACATGCAGCTTAGCTAGTTTTATTGTAAATAAAAAATTATTGTATACATTTAACAAATTTACCATCAACTACAAACTTTTCTCACTTTCACACCCCCAACTCAGAAACTCTGGGCTCGAAGAAAATTCAGTTTCCCCACTCATAATTAGGACTTTGTGGTGCCATTCACATGCTATCAACTCCTTAATATAATCTATGCGACATGACTTGAATGTGCCATTACACTTTTTTCATTTAACATGTATGTTTGCGCAAACCTGGCAGTAATAAACCTTAGTATCCAAAAAGGAGCTATTTAAAGCATAATTCCCGCCAAAATGAAAATTCCGTCATCATTTACTCAACTTCACGCTATTTCAAACCTGTATGACTGACTTTCTACTGTAGAACATAGCAGAAGATATTTTGAGATATGTCTAAGTGGGTTTTTTTGTCCATACAATGGAAGTCAATGGTAACCAAAACTGTTTGCTTAGCAATATTTTTCAAATTCAAATTCAAACAGATTTGAAACGTCAAGACGGTAAGTAAATGACAGAATTTTCATTTTTGGGTGCTAAATCCCTTTAAACTGTATTTTTAATCCTTGTATTTTAATCCTTGAGAACACAAAGAGTTGTTAATATGTCTATAAGATTCTCTTATAAGAAACTATTGCTCCATCATGACAGTTGTTGACCTGAAGGAGAAAACTGACTGTAGAAGTTTGGACTTGCATTCCAGGATTCATTCATTGATGCGTGAAATCGAGTAGCTAGAAGCATTAGTGTTAATATACTTACATAGAGTATATTTCAGATTTGAATCTACAGAGTACAGCAGACAAAAAACTGCTGTTCAGTTCAGTGCTTTGATGTGAACGGGTGCTGCGTGAGATTGAAGTGGTGCAAACATCAATACCGGCCCATGGTTTGACAGATCTTGAACTTGTCTCCAGCACTTTAGCGGTTGGCCAATAGTAAAGACATTTCCAATCGATCTGATTAACAGCATTACATTCCCAATGCTTGCTCTTTTTACAAGCACAATATACCTGTATATATTCTCTTTATTAAACCGTTTTGAAATGTAGAGCACATTTTTCTGGCATTATTGAAAGCATTGGTTAGGTGAGTGAATTCAGAGAAGAACAGGTGTCTTAATTAACACCATTATTCCTTTGCTGCCTTGTTGGCCTATTTCCAACTGCGGAATAAAGAAGGAGTGATTGTTCAAACAATAAACATATCTTCAACTAACACAGACAGAATAACAGGAATGAAAAATGTTACCTTACTTTGTTGAACTTAGCATTGATCTGTTTAGTTATATGGCATCTTGTGTCCCGCCAATCCTTTTAAAGTGGATTTCATCAAAAGTTTTCAGATGCAAACAGCGTATCTTATGCTAATCGAGACATTCGTTCAACCTCCCTCTTTTTTTATTATTAAACTATCGAAACTTTTTGCATTTTAAAAGGACGTTCAATGATTCTGTGCAGTGACTTTTAGCTGCCCCTCATGTTTACTCCAAAACAACTCAGCGGTTTCATATTGCTGATTTTATATTGTTTCTAAATCATTGCACAAATAGCGGCACCCCCTGAGAAATAAGACGTGCCTTAATGCTTGACTTATAAAGAACTGTGAGATCACTTTTAGATCTATTAGGTTCTTGGATGTCGAAGTTGTTTCACCGACAGCTTGAGTGTTTTGAAATGTTCCTGTCAGGCAGTCCGGATTTGCATTTTAGCATGGTGTTTTTTTTTTTAGCTGCTTGCTTGTGGACTTATATTGGAAAGCTGTGCTTATCACATAGTATGATTACAAATATTGGCAGATTCTTAAGCTAGAGTAAGTTGGAAATGTCATCGATGAGGACTTATATCTCCTAAACCACTTGAGAATAGTTTCAGTTGCATATTTACCTCACTGTATATTTTCATCAGCATGAAACAGATGCATGAAGTTTTAGGAAAAGCTATTACTTGCCAGACAAGTTCAATTATATTCTCTCTAACAAGACATTTTTTTTCCGCTGACGCCCATGATCTCGAAGCAGCTGGTCTTTTTGTGCTTTGACTGTTTTTTTTTTTTTCTCTCCGGATCTCATGCTGTCCTGGCTTCCGAGTTGCTGGTTCGGCAGAGTTGAGTATCAAAAGGCCTCTGCCATTCCCTGGGCTTCCTCTCCATTCCCTATGTGCCAGGAAGCTATGGGAGCCTGGATGTCACTTTGGACTGAGATCCAAACATGAATGTACATGTAAATCATTTCATACCCGACTTTACTTCAATGTTTTCTGCAAGTAGAATGTGGAAAGAAGCAAGCTCGTCTTTAGCTTCAGCCAGAAGATGAGCCGCTTTTATTTACTGTATTAAATTTCGCTATAACTGATGCTTGGTGCTGACAGAGAGTTTTTTTTTTACCCCCTCCCCATCCTCCCTTTGGTCTGATTGGTACGCAGTTATGGCTGTGTCATAACTCATAAGCGAATGCAAAGTGTTGCTGAGGGCTGAAATTGAATGCTGCACCTTTTCAAAGTTAAGGCCCGGAAAGAATTATGGCCTGTGAAATTCTGGGCCCTTTGTCTCTCCGCAAAGCCACTCTGCAGTGTAATTTAACCCGCCGATGGGCCGTGAGATCAATCAGGACCCAGGAAGCTGAGGGGGGATGGGGAAGGAGTGAGTCGAACCGGCCCTGGACCCCCCCGCTGCCGCCGTTCTTAATGCTTGACTGGGTGGCGTGGCTATTTTTATTGTTTCCAGTGATGTAGTGGAGATGTTCTGGAAAAGGTTAGGGAAACATTGCAGGCTTGTTTGAATTCGTAGATCTGTGGGTCATGTAAGCTTCTGATGTAGCAGGCTGTTTGATTAAGTCAGGTCATACTTTTGTTAATCAGACAGTGATCCAATTTAATCAGTCATAGAGTCCAAGCTATACACTGAATGCACATAGTTAGCCTACCGTGTGCTGCTCTCTGTGCTTCTATATGGCAGAGATAGAAATTCTAGTCTGAGACTTGGACTCAAGTTGTGCTTGAGTTGCAAATTAATTGACTATACTGTATGCATGGCTACTTCCTGGTTTTAGATGAGCCAGCTCGGGCATTTCTGGTCAACTGTCAAAATCAACTGTGCTATAAGGGGAGCACACTTTGCTCGGTTTCTCTACATAATCCATTCACAATTTGAAGAAATGTTTTGTTTGTCTAAGAGGACCAAACGTGTACGTATACAGTTTCAGGAATGACAAACGCGAGTGTAAAAAATTAAGTGAGTGAATCCGCTAAATTGTGCTGCGAGTTATTGCTATGATTGACAGTGATAAAGCAACGGACGCAACAAAACATCTGACGAGTCGATGTCAAAAACAGAGCTGTGCATGAAGTGATTCAGACTAAATTCAGAGTAGCAAAACCTCCCGGCAACCTCCCGCTCTCTCTCGTGAAGTCAACATGGAAGTGACTTAAACTGTAATTCGTCAACTGCCCGCTAGAGGCTGGCTGCAAAAGGGAGTCAATCCCATAGACTCCCCATGTTAAAATGCCCAACTTTACAGCAGAAAAAAACATGTTTACAGCCTGGTTCAAAAAATTATTTTGGTCTATATAGCTAATTTTGCCCTTCATGACAACTGTAAGGGAGGTGAATTTGTTTATAATTCATCCGTTTAAATTATATTAAGCCTTAAAGTTCTGCATAATTAAGGGTGTGGCCACTTGAGTGGCAGGGGGATTGCAGCTGCTGTCACCACCGTTGAGCTAGGTGGGCGTGGTTTCAGCAACCAGCTTCCGCCTCTTTGCCCATTTTCGATTATCCGGGAGTGACGCGCTGCCAAGT